AATTGCTACTTAAAATGCTTTGCCATTCCTACTAGAAACATCAGAATTCACACATCTAACCGACAAAATAACCCACTCTTACTTTTATTTTAACAGTTTAACATCCAACTCCTTTGCTGAATAGCTTATAAAACAGCCAGCATTGAATCGTACAAAAGAAAATGATTTATATTTAATACAACACATTAGCACTAGCATAGTAGCTTGTCGTGTAAGCATACATACTTATACAGAAATATATGAGAATGGGCCTCAGCATGAACATGTTAAGGATTTACATAACCACGTGATTGGAGAGACTGAACAGAAACATGAATTCAGAATGGCAGGTCTAAGAGTATCTGAACACCACGTTCCTGTGTCATATCACAAAATATAATATACGAGGCGCGTCCACAAAGTAAGTTTCCCACTCGTCCCACAGCTAGCAAACCTTACATTGCGCGAAGCAACTGTGCGTACGTGATAGAGCAATGACGTAGCACGGCGCATGCACTAACGGTACTTCCCGCGTTCTCACAGTAGCATCGTTGCAGCTGTTGAAGATGGAGGTTCTTATTCCAGCTCCCGCCGACTGTGAAGTGCGGTCAGTGATAACGCTAGGCCGCACACGGCTCGACAGACAGCAAGTCTCCTGCAGGAGTTCAGCTGGGAGGTGTTTAATCATTCACCCTACAGCCCGGACCTCGCTCCCAGTGATTTCCATCTTTTCCTACACCTCAAGAAATTCCTGTCCGGTCAGCGTCAGCGTCAGCGTTTTGAGAATGACAGAGAGGCGGAGATGGCTGTCACACAGTGGTTCCAATCCCAGGCGGCAGACTTCTACGACCCAGGTATTCAAAAGTTGGTCCCACGGTATGACAAATGTCTCGATTCCGGTGGCGAATATGTTGAAAAATAGCTGGACACTTGCTGTATCTGTTGCAATAAATATTTCCATGAAATTGTGTTTTGTTTCTGTAAACGGCCCCAGGGAAACTTACTTTGAGGACGCGCCTCGTATTATACAAACAGCTACTAGGTTTTGCAACTTTATAACATGCTCACCTGAATATTGGGACAGGAAATGCTTGAGCTTCACATAATAGACTGTACATGCTTCCTGAGTTCATCTCAAAAGAATCTGATTTGGCAGACTTGGGAAATTTTGGAGATACTCTTCCAACTGGTTCTGAAGAGATAAGTTACATGTAAACAATAGGTTCAGCTTAAAAGCGGCTATTTACAGTTACTTTAATTGTTGCTACTATTATTATTAGTAGTAGTAATTTGATCTGAGTTACCTCACCACATATGAGTGGGACTATTTAACGTACTTCAGTAGAATAATGTGCCATTATGGCACTTTCTGTGTTCTTTTGGGTGCTGTCAGTGTTTCAGGAGAATGAGGTACCTCCGCCTTCAGGAAAAATGGCTGGCAGTAGTGGATAATGAGACAGATAAAATTCTGATATGTGGAGACACAGATAAATGGAAACCAGCATTTAAAAATAAATTCCTTCAAGCTATAATTCTTGCCCTGCAAGAAGATCTGTCTGATAGGTGAGAAAGCAAAACTTTAAAACTGACAATACTATGCTCACTGGAGTTTACATGGAAAGTTATAAGCAGCACATAATTCCTCAATAAAGAAGAGTTCAGGGTGAACAGTGAGATGATACAGAAGGGTTGTCTTAAGGTCACTGTTAGTTTCTTCAAATTCTGATCACCTGATTTTGTGGTACTTGTCATCCATGGCTTAAAAAGTGTCCTAGGAAACCAGGATTTTTATACTGCAGAATATTGCATTTTTGATTATATCTCTTTAGATTCTTAGGCACAACTGGTAAGTATTTTGATGAAGAAATAATTAATTAACCGGCTCTTTTGTGTACCAATGCTTCAAACTCCACTGTTGTAAAAAAAAAACTCTAAAAGAAAAACCCATTCCACTATAAATCCTTATGACGGAATTCTTTAGAAAATCGGCTTGAAACTGTAAAAAAAATTTAAAAATAAATGTCCAATCTATGCGAATATAAAAGTAACTTACTAAGGTAACATGATGTGCACACTGTTAATAATATTGATGGGAAGCCAAAAATTAGCAATAACATAAGACCATTTCTACCCTTTTAATCATTAAGCTCATCCAAACAATATTTAAAAATTCAGTTCCTATTTAAAATAACACATATCTCCATTACAAAGTTCAGTTGGTAATTACTGTTTATGGAGAAAATCACTACTCATTCCAAGAATCATATGAAAATATACTCTCTAGGCAAAATGCCGAGTTACCGAATGTTAAAGTAGGTGGTATACACAATTACCACTGTGCTTAAGAGAATGAAGGACCACCATCCCTGTCCTGGGACAACACTGTCTAACCAGCAGAAATTACAATATAATCAGAACTATGAAGGCTTCAAATGTAACATTAAGCAGGCATTTCAATAGAAATTTTTTTTAATAAATGTTCGATGTTCCTTAGTTTTCCTAATTTAGAGAACTGAATGGCTCTATTCTATGAGCTTACCTGAACACAGGGACAGGATAGCCCTGTGCTGGGCATAATAAAGTGAAGCCTAGGCCCGCAAACCTCACAATTGAATGACTTTTGTCATCTGTTGAGAAGGTTGGTGATTTGGTACCAACGGGTTCTGTTGGAAGTAGGGAGATACATAATTTGTAATATTATGCCCCACATTCAATTTTCAAATATACGTTACAATAAAGGTTAATCAAAAGATAATGTTACCACTAAACTATATATTTTTAAATATTCACAAGCAGAACTCATTTTCTTGAATAAAGAAAATTAATAGCTGTGTAAAAAAAAGGCTGGAAGCATAAATCTCTTGACCATATTACCATTGCCAGAAAGACGTACATTTGTAAAAAACAAATAATGAGTTTTGATACAAACGTACAAGCCAAATAACACAGATGTGTGCAGAATTGGTTGCTGAAACTGAACACTGATGTTCAGATAATTTTGCATGAATGGGGTTTATGAAGAAACTACAACACTTCACTTTAAATATCTGAAGGGATGGGGGCAGAGATGCAGGCTAAGACAAGATTATAATATTAACCACTGTCATAGAGAATGGAATTTAAATCAAAATACCATGGGGTTGCCAGTCAGATTTTAACTTTGGATGGTGGTGGGTGGGTGAGGTGAGGAGTTAACAACAGCAGCGATAAATAGTATGTGCCACATGGTCACCTGGACCATGCATAAAATGTGACACGTGCCTGTTAAAGGTTAAATATACCTTAATGAATTAGTTTGTGACAATGTTAATTGCACTGAATAAGTTCAGAACAAGATCCATGGCTGACAACATAAGCCTAGTAAAAGGGCGATAAACAAAAGGGGGCAAAATGATTATGGTGGTGTGCAAAAAAAAAAAATTATGTGATAAGTTCCATAACTAATTCAAACATTTAAACATCTAACTGGATGATTGTGCATTACATTTCAAACCAACAAATGAATCCTGAACACTGCATCGGATGTATAACTACTGGGACATACCTGAATGTAGGGATAGGAAAACCCTGCGCCGGACATAACAATCCAAATCCTTCACCAGAATTGATTATAAATGAACTACTCTTATCATTGGTTGAGAATTTAGGAACTCTTGCTCCGACAGGATCTGTGAATGGACAAGTGTGCTTCACTGTCTTACCTGAATGATGGGACAGGATACCCCTGAGCAGGACACAGCAGCACAAATCCTTGACCAAGAAACTTTACAAATGAGCTACTTGTTGCTTCAATTGCAAATTTTGGTGCCTTTGCTCCAACAGGCTCTGTGTGAAAGTGGAGATTTTAAGTATGACCATCAGTGAGACAAGTGTACGTACCTGAACGCAGGACAAGGTACCCAACAGAACACAGACTAGGCACAAGTGAAATGAAAGGAACACTAAAAATTTGATACATAAAAACTTGCAAACAAAAAAATACACCGCCAAACTTTCCTTTACTAGCTACCTATCTAATAAATTAAGTCCTTGGAATGGAGTCCTTGAAAAGTCAGATGAATCCAGTCCACACTCTCCCTCCCATGGCCTTTAAGTCACATTTTAACATTATCCTCCCATCTATGTCCAGGTTTTCCAAGTGGTCTATTCCCTTCAGGTTGTCTAATAACAATTTTCTGCACATTGTTCAACTCCCCCCATGCATGCTACATGCCTTGTTAACCTCATCCTTCATTACACTTTCATATTTTTTTAGTCGTCTCTGGTCAATACCCGACTGCCATGACCCCTTTCGGGGCGCTCATGCGAAAGTACCACGGTGGGTTCGCACTTCCTTCCGTGGCCAGTCTTTACCTACCAGACTGGAAGAGGAGACGCGGACAAACATCCATGCCTTGAGTGGGACTCGAACCCACGGTCGCAGCGGCCAGGCGCGCGAGGACCATGCCTCAGACAGCGTGGCTACTGCGGCCGGCACACTTTCATATACAAAGATGAAAAATCAAACTCAAGCTAATGCTGTTTGCACAAGGCTGAGTAATATAAATCTGCTGAATATAATATTAGAGACAATTACCTGTGTCGCTATTTCAAATACACACATTATGAAAAGAATTCTTCCACAGGCATAAAGTTTGGGACAACAACATCAGAGCATGGTATAAAGCTTTCACAGCAACTAATATTAATAAAATCTTCTTGGCCTATCAGCCATGTCAGTTGTCTAAAAATCACTGATGTGTCTTTCAGGATCTATCTCTGTCACCATTATCAGGGCTGCATAATAATGTTGGTAGATAACAGAATTTTGGAAGAATAAACTACCATGAAGGTGGGAGCAGGTTGTTTCTCTGAAATGCTGACATCACTCACAAGTCCACATGGATTTACAACCCAGATGATCAACATTTAATATTTGTGTTACTTTCTCAGCTAAGTGACCACATTTCACAACCATACGTGACAACTCATAAAATGACTGAATATTAAATTGATAATTTTAAAAACTGTGGCCTGCTTACCTAGATGTAGGCACAGGGTGCCCCTGAGCCTGACACAGCAGCCCAAACCCAATGCCAGAATGTCTCACAAATGAAAGAACTTTCGTGTCACTTGCAAATGTTGGTGCTTTGGCTCCAACAGGCTCTGCGCACAAAACAAGGAAATTAGTGCGCAGACCCTGAGAGTGCATATCAACAGGAAGCCAAAGAGAATTGCAGTCATGTACGCACTTACAGGAAGTTCAAAATACAAGTCAGTTGCATAGGCTGCATATCCCAGTGCGGGCAGGTAATAAATATTTTGTCATATTAAAGTACAGTATGAGCCAACTCATAAGGAGAAAATCATCTGGAAGTGTTCAGATATGTTTAACGTCACATAACATTTCTGCATAGGAAAATAAGAAAAGCTAGAATCTATAGTAAAAGCAAGAAATTAACTAAAATCAAAATATGAACTGTTGGTATCTTTTTTTGATTCATATGTTACTTAATGATTGTGTTGAACTCCACAGCTTTTATAGCATTGAATTAACTGGGAAGATGATCAAGAATAATGAGAAGATAAGGTTTTGGAAGTGGGCAGTGATAGCCTATTAGATATTAACCTGAAGGGACCTTTTTTTTTTTTTTTGTAGTGTTCTGTCTGCCGACAGGTCCATATGAACAGGATCCTTCCATCCTTTTCTCGGACTGTGACCTGTTCATATACGTTCTTGGCAGATGATCCAGAAGTGGTTTGCCATTGCCTTCTTCTGTGTAAGTGTGAATGGAGTAATTGTTGGGATACCATGGAGAAACCGGGGAAGCCCCCGGAGGAAAACTCCGTGTTGCCTAGACCACGGCCTTGCCCAACACAAGTTATAAATTCGGGCGCCACCGGGAATCGAACCCGAGACCCCAGGATTACAAGGCCAGCGTTCTAACCGCTAGACCACCGTGGCACTTCTGAAGGGACTGCAGAATCCCTTTAAAGGCCTGTCAGGATAGCTGGTGGTCTGTCTGATGTTCAAAGTGAGTAGGAAAAGTCAAGAGGATTACCGCTACACAAACTGGACTGGTAACCAATATTTTTTGCACTACACAAACAAGATTAATTCAGCTTATTTATTCTAGTCTGCAGCCATTTTAAGTGAAGTTCCATCAGTACTTTCCAAGACTAAAACAGTACTCTGAACATGGAAAGTTTGGAATACCATGATATCATAAGAAGGGCCATGTCAGGAAAGTCACCTACTTCTCTCTGCACAGGCCCGAGTTCAATCCTAAGGCAGTCCATGTGAGGTTGTGAGGTCTGTAATAGACAAAGTGGCAATGGGATAGGTAATCCCCCTGAGTCTTTGATTTTCCCCTGTCAGTATCATTCCACCAATGCTCCACATTTACTCACATATCATCTGGGCGATGGACAAAGGGCCTATTACTGGCCACAGTTCCACAGGGACATAGTCTCACCCTCCATACAACAACAAAATTTCAGAATATATGTGGCTTGGAAATAAATATCCTGCTTTTCAGTACACCATACATTTATAAGATATTAACATGAAACCTAACAAGTTCTTTGATATTCTGTTTTAACTATTTAACTAAGAAGAAGTTCTTATTAGAATGTACTAAATACTGTCCTTATAATTTCATAAAATAAACAAAGTATATGTAAGACTTGAGGT